AATACTTGGCCACGTTGGATGGGAAGTCCTGCATAATTGCCCAGGACACCACAACCACGTTGAAGTGACGAAGTGTCTTGCCCGGTCGCTTGCCAAGCTTGCTCCTCCAATGGACTTCCTGCCTGCCGAGATGAAGATGATTAGTCAGATTGGAACGGAGGTCATCCAGGATTGCCCAGGACCTCACTACAGCCAGGGTGAAGCGCAGAAGTGCCTCGCCCGGTCGCTTGCGAAGAATGCCCCCCCAATGGACTTCCTGCCCCCACAGATGCAGATTCTTGCTCAGATTGGACTGGCGGTCATGCAGGAATGCGCAGGATCTACCAGCAAGGTTGAAGTGCAAATTTGCCTCGCTCGCTCGCTTGTCAAGCATGCTCCGCTGGACTTCTTGCCTGAACCGATGAAGGCCCTTGCAGGTGGCGATCTCCCCTTGTCATTCCTTGCAGGCTAGGCAGCTCAAATCAGTTGTCGAACCCTGGCGGCTTTGCAGCCGGAGTCCTAAGCCCTGAACAGCCCGAAGGCGGCAAGCTCAGCCCGCTCATCGAGTGTGCACAGCCCAACTCTCACGGCGACCTGACCAAGTGCCTTGGCTCCAAGATCATTGCGAGCGTGCCTCCGCTGAACTTCCTGAACCGCCTCGGCGACATTTTCACGGAATCTTGGCTGGAGCTCAGGGCTAGAGTGTACGGCTCGGGATTCAGCGGATAGGTTTTCGTCAACCCAAAACCCTACCCGACCGAGGAGTTCATCGAGGTCTTTGCCAAGGCCCCCGACACGCAGCAACAGCAGCCAGCCCCATTTTCGCAAAGGATCGCGGTCGGCATAGCGTTTAGGGTTCAGCGCTGAGCTGTTTCGAGTTGAAGGGCTCTGCTGTTTGCAGTTTACAATGTTTACGGTTTGGGAGCTTGGTGTCTAGTAGTCCTAGGTCTAGGGCTTACTCCTCAATGAAGGGACAGCACTGCAGCTCTTGGGCACCTACACCGGCACAAAGCTACATGAAGCCTACACCTGTGAAAACGTCGAAAGCCCAAGCCCAAAACTCTGCTTATTTAGCCCGATGTTCACAAAAAGTTGGGAGTTCCAGGGCTTCGGGTTCGTTGCCGGGGACTTAGGCTTGTTCCACGATTTGGGGCTTCGGGTTTATGGTTTACTTTAAAGCTTTATGGGTTTCGGGTGCCCTGAAGACTTTGGTGTTTCGTTTAAGACAGGTGGCCAGCACGGTGGCCACATCGGCGATGAAGGCCCCCCACACATTCCGTTTGCAAAGCCGTTCTCGAATCTTTGGGGGTTCAGGCTGGGAAATTCGGGTTGATTCCGGTGGAGGATGCTTGATGGGTTCCTGTGCCCCTCCCCTCGCCGGTGTCCTCCACAGATATCCGAGATTGCTTGAACCCGAAAGCCCCCAACCCACTGGAGGAAGGCCAGTCGCTGCTGCAGATCGCGGCTGCCTCGGAGTTTCCGGCCGCCGGCGCCCCGCCGCAGGTCCACCACAGAGGCAGGGCCATCTCTCAAGCCGTCAAATTGGGAAATTTCGGGTTTGGGGGGTTTAGGGGTTATGGTTTCTGGCTCTGGGCTCTTCGGGGGGCTTGGGGCTTGGACTGCTCTTGTAAAAAAGATGCCGATGTTGTAGTCAGACTCGCATTTCGACACACTGTTTCGGGTGTGCTGCAGGCGCATTCAACAACCTGAGCATACAAGCAACCAGCCTAGCCACCCATCAAATGTGAAACTTTCGACATGGCTACTTCCAGATAAGGTGTCAAATTAGCTGAAAATGGTACCCTGCAAACACTGACAAACAGGACGCTCCATTCCCTCGACATGACAGGCACGAAGCAGCTCATACAGCTCGGACTGGAGCCCACAACGTGGATATGAGGGCTCCCTGAATCAGGGTTGTTTGGGATTCCCAGTAGAAGGGGCCCAGCCTTATGGCAAACAAACCCTTCAAAGGCCCCCGCCTTTTCCTCGTCACAAAGAAGCCTAAACCTGAAACGGGCTCCGTGTTCACCGCATGAGGTGGTATGGTGCCCAAGCCAGAAATGCTACACAGACTGAGCTCTTCATCTTAAGGTCATCAACTTAAACAAGAGTTTCGGGGCATCCAGGATTTAGAGCCCTAAACTATGAGCTGCCCTAAGCCCTAAAGCCCTAAACCCGAAGCCCATCAACCCCAGATGAGATCGAATCCCCAGGCGCAAATCTCATCATCAGCGCGCATTCGCAGCACGCGCCATCCGCAGGGCCAAGCAGCTTCTTGCAGAAGGTCGCTCTGGGATCCACTCTCAATCATGGCATGGTATAATACAGAATAACACAAAACAATAAAGAAAAGTCCAACCTGACCCTGAATCTCAGAACGAAACCCCAAACCCTAAACTTTACGTGCTGTGCAACCTAGACCCTATAAACCTCAAGTCCCAGAAGTTACAGCCGGAAAAGCCTTGGCCCTTTCAAACACCAAGGGCGACGACGACAAGCCGCCGGCAGCCGTGAGTTTCAGCTTCAACGACTATGGGCCGGAAGCCCACACGCTCGTCACCCAGCTCCTCGGCATAGGAGTAGGCTTAGGGCTTGCGTAGGCCTTCGAAACTCTTGAAGTTTGGGGATCAGGTTCGGGGCTTAATATTCGGAGGGTAGGGTTCAACCACTGAGGGGGCCCATCGTCCCAAAGTCGCCCAGCAGACTAGATTTCAGGCACCAAAACGCCCTATAAACCTTCAATAACTTAA